TGTCGCTCTCTCATCGATGTTCCTAACTCTCTATCTCTCTCCCTTCCTCTCTGTAAAAAATCAATAAAATATATTTTTTAAAAAATGAATTAAAAGAAACATGGTATCTTCACAGGAGAGTTTGGTGATTGCTGCACAACACTTAAACGTATTTTTCATAGATAAGAATAATTTAGAATTATATTTCCAGACTTGGGAGTTATTTTGTGAGCTTACTGTTTTGATACTACCACAAAAGGCTCATCTCAGAACCTGGAGGTACTCAGGAGGCAATATGTGCAGTATTTTCCATTAAAAGTTATAGGTTCTTCCCACAGAGACTCTGATTGTTTTCCTATTCTTATTTTTACATTTTCTTTTAAGTCCTGGTAGAAGGAAATTCTCTTGCACTTGTAAAACCCTTGCGTACTCCGGTAAGTTTAATTTTGATTAATTTTAATATAGAAAAAGGTGAACTTTTAATTGTTCCATATTGTAGGTTTTAATAGGAAATTTCATCAAACCACCCTGCCTGTGTTGCTGATTGGTTAACCTTTCACCCATTAACCAAGAGGTCCCTGGTTCACTTCCTGGTCAGGCCACATGCCCAGGTTTGGACTAAATCCCCTGTGGGGGTATGCAGGAGGCAGCCAATGGATGTCTCTCTCTCTCATTGATATTCCTATCAATCTATGCCCTTGCCCAACCTCTATTAAAAAAAAATTCACCAAAAAAAATGTTCAAAAGACTGATCCTTCAAAAATTTTTAAAACTGTGCCATTAATATGATAGATTAAATGAAATTAAGCGTGCCATAAAAAACTATTTGGTACTTTGGACTATATAAAATATCCCGTTATTTCAAAGATTCTATTATTGGGTATCCTTGTTATTTGAAAGCATCTAATAAAGGTTACAGTGCATTTAAAGTAGAATTGTGGCCCTAGCTGGTTTGGCTCAGTGGATAGAATGTTGACCTGAGGATTAAAGGGTCCCAAGGTTTGATTCCAGTCAAAGGCACAATCTTGGGTTGCGGGGCTCTATCCCCAATGGGGAGTGTGCAGGAGGCAGCCAACCAATGAGTCTCTCATCATTGATGTTTCTATCTCTCTCTAGCTCTCTCCCTTCCTATCTGGAATCAATAAAAGTATTTTTTTTAAAAAGGAATTCTGCCTCAATACTGTAACTTAGATTCGTACTTGAATTTCTAACCTGCCCTGTGCACTCTCCACAACTGCATGAGCCATTATAAAGTCTCTTTCTGTGTCTTCTTTAAAAAATAAAGAAAGGAAAAATAAAAAAGTAAAGTAGAATTGTGTAACCTAGCAAAAGAAGAGGATTACTAATATTATCCACTTAAAGGTGGATAAATTAATAATTTTCATATATTCACAGAGCAGAATATTATTTAGAGAGAAGAAACATCTAAATAGTTAAAGTTTACAAAGACATTGTAAAAGCTGGTATATCAGAATGCATGCCATTTTGTTTATTTATGCAAATTACCAAAACTGCATTACTAACCAAATTTTATATACCTATGCAAATACTAATTTATTGAATATGTATATATCTACTGATAATCTAAATGTATTTGATACTCTAACATGGAAACCATTGAGAAATATAGGGAAATTATTAAAATTTCATTTTACTACACCTTCTTGTATGAAATAATGGTAAAATCTTATGCAGGCATGAGGAGAACTGTGACAAGAGTCTCCAATATAAAAATATATTCAGACATTTGCCTGTATTTTATAAATGATATAGTGTTTATAAAAATGTATGAATAATATTTTATGACTAAGTGGAATTCATTTCCAAACCTCATTATAGATTTTCATTCCATTTGAATGCATGGCATCTTGTACTAAGGTTAAAGAACATTTTATTGAAAAAGGTCATTACTGACAAATTTTATGTTCTTCTTTATGTTTAACAGCCAAACTGTAGAGCATATAAGGGTCGATTTTCTCTGTGCACCAACCAAGTGGATCCAGTCTGCGCAAGAAATGGTCGTACTTACTACAATGGATGTGTTTTCTGTGCTGTAGTGTTGTAAGAACACCAAATAATGAAGAAACCATCACAAATGATAGGAAAACCCAAGTTTCTGATAGCCTAGGCACAGTACATCTGGGAAAAATTGTACTATCTCAGTAAAAGTCACAGAATCAGACTGGTACCTTTCCCAGAGGTTCTCATTTGCAAAAGCAGTTTGGTATTTGACCTCTCAATATAACTCTGCTGGATATTTTGCAAATGTACAAATCAATTAATTTAGTTTAATTATTATGACTTACACGTCAGTCTATGACCAATATATTGAATTCTGAAGCCCATATCATAATTGTGAATCTCTATGATGTAGCTTCAATCTACTGGGAACATAATTGAGGAAGAGACATTACTTGACTACAGAAATTTGCAATCCATCACCATGGGCCTATTCATGCTAGAGGGTATCCTCTGATCTTGGTCCACCTTGTCTTCTGAGCTCCATGACAACTGCAAACCTTCTTTAGAGAGTAGGGCATTCCAGGACATTTCCACCCAATCTCGTTTTCTATATCCTTCACTCCAAGGAGTTTGCAGTGTAATGGTTCAACCTGCCTTCGTAGCTCCCTCCTCATTTTCTCTCAAATTTATTTCCTCTTATTTGATCCCAAAATGGGCTTCTACTTCTAGAGAATCATTCAAACAATCTCCAATCCTATCCTCTCTCCAGTATGAGAGGGTTCCGAGACCGAGCCAGGACTGAACACGTAGGAAGAGTCAAGTAGCCCAGATGAGGGAAGGATGTGTGCAGGGCTGGGGAACACATGGGTCCCAGCTGCTGGCTAAGGTGAAGCACAGCCTCTCCACAACGGGCACTTAATGCAATATCCAGGTAATTTTAAATGCTTTTTATAACAATTTCTCTTTCTCTTTTTTTCTTTACAGAGACTCTAAAACACGAATTAAATTTCGGCATTATGGGAGATGCGGATAGTTAGGGCAATCCTATTTTGCAGTGGATTCTACAGCCAATCAGAGTCTTTTCAATCAGGGAGTTAGATTCCTAGGTGACCAGACAAAGCCTTGTATTCCATACAAGAAGGAATACAGAGTGTTGAAAATTGTCTCTCAATTCTAAGAACTTTTAATTGATTTTCATTCTCTGTTCAATTATTAAATAGCAGTTGAAAAACCACCTTAATCGCATGTTTGATAATATAAAACCTAATGCAATTTACAATCATAAATATTTCAATGAATAGAATGTTAAATTATATTGTTTTTCAATATACCACCTTGCAAGAAAAAATGTCGGAAGAGTAAGTGGATGCTTCATGGACATGCTCCCAGAAACAAACTGAAATTACGACTAACATACAGAAAAACTTCCTGAATAATCAATGGAAAACAGGCAGGAGAGAACCCTCAGACCCGAAGGCCAAAAGTGCAGACCGCATAGAGACTAGTAGGAGGGGTGGAGGCGTGAAAGCTCTGGCCAGGCACCCACAGACTGCAATTGAAGTTCTGGAGTCATAAACCAGGCGTGGAGCATTGCAGTGAGAACTCTGAGATCTAATCCCCAAGCTGGGCCCCCACCACCAGCAGAGAGCACCAATACTAACAAGGGTACCCGCATAACATCTGGCTCTGAAAAGCAGCAGGGTGCTGTCTGCCAGGGAGTGACAGCTAAAAATTCAGGCACCCTCTTAACGGGCCAATGCACAAAATGCACTGCGCAGCCAACCACCCGTGCTCTGGCAGATGGAGGGTAAAGTGATTTGGAGCTGTGAGAGTAGAAGCCAAAACTGGGGACTAGAGGATACAGCTCAGAAGGGAGACATCCCAAGTTTCCTGGGCTGAGTCATTCCCTCACACAGCAAAGGACATCTTTCCCATGTAGATATTTGCCTTGCCTGGGGGGAAGATAGTTGATACACCTTATTGGAAAACACCTTGCCCTGAGGTCATTAAGAAATAAAAAATATCAATTAGCCTGCAGGCAGAAAACTACCCCAGATTTGCCTTGCCTGGGGGGAAGATAGTTGATACACCTTATTGGAAAACACCTTGCCCTGAGGTCATTAAGAAATAAAAAATATCAATTAGCCTGCAGGCAGAAACAACTACCCCAGCCTGTTGAAAAACCTCTCAACACACAAGAGGACGATTGCCTGGGAGGCAACTCAAGTTGGAATCCTATCATTCTGTAGGCAGAGGAGGTCTCTGGAGGCTTTGAGTCTTTGTCTGACCTAATTAGTCAGAAACAGCCTTTAACACTATCCTGGCCTAGAGATTGAGAAGTGTAGAGGATATACCTAATACATAATCACAAACCCAAAGTGACAGCCAAAATCAGACAAGAAACACGCCCCAAATAAAAGAACTAGAGAATTCTCCAGAAGAAAAGATAAATGAAGTGGAGATAAGAAATATGTCTGAAACAGAGTTCAGAGTAATGATGGTAAAGATGCTCAACAGCATGAAAAAATGATATAGTAACTATGAAAAAAGAACAGTCAGATAAAGAAAGACATAACATTAAATAAAGAACATTTGAAGGAATACACCACAGATTAGGGGAAGCTGAGGATTGAATCTCTGAATTAGAAGACAGAGTTGAAAAAAATCAATCAATCAGAGAACCGAATAGAAAAAAAAATTTAAAAAAAAAACAGGAGGAAAGATTAAGGGAGCTGTGGAACATATTAAAACATAACCATATTAGAATAACAGGTGTGCCAGAAGAGGTAGAAATAGAGAAAGAAATAGAGAATATGATAAAGGCCATATATGACAGACCTACAGCCAACATCATATTCACGGTTGGGAGGAATGCAGATTGGTGCAACCACTGTGGGAAGCAATATGGACTTTATTCACAAAAATTAAAAATGCAAATCCCATTTGACCCAGTAATGCCACATCTAGTTAGAGATCACAAGAAATCAGAAAGAACTATTAGAAAGGATATATGCATCTCTAT